GATCAATTTCCTATAAATATATTGTAAATTGACTATAACTTATCTGCAAAATATAACAATTTCTGCGCATTGTATTCAAAGTGTAAAGTATAATCGTACAAAAGCAAACATGTAATATGAAAGGATCTGTTTTTTTTTTTGCACCAAATACTTCTCCAGAAGAATGTGGGCAAAACAAGGGTTTCTTTGTAATGTCCATTGATCGTACACAAACTAATATTCAATTTTTAACCAATGTTGGTACCATATGAAGCCCAATTGTAAAAATTAGAAACCTTTTAAAAGAATGGTGGGACATGGATTGATAAATGAACGTATGGTACCGATATAAATGCAAAATACACACCTCGGGAACAACCATAAACAGGCACACCTAAGTACAAATACTCGAGAAATAAAACATAAGAATCATTCTTGAGAGCATTAAATCCAAAATAGATACGACTTAATTATCAAAGGTAGACTTTGTCTGCGGGTTAGGATATAAGTATTGGTGTAAACTATTATACGTGAATCCGACTGTATCGTTAGTGCCAGATGTTGCAGAAACACACATATACACAAACCCTCAGCAAAGTGGAGGATCTAATTGTTATTCTTTTAATTGTAATGTTGATTTTTGTTAATCCAGGCGCTTTAAATAACCCTCCGTTAACACGCCTGATTCTTGGTTCACGGGCATTAATGCACTAGTCATTTAAGTTCGCTTGCACTCGTGGGTCGTGGGTCTTCATTACACATTCACTTCTCTTTGAATTCGCAAGTTACTTATGCAAACTTTGATATGCTTAAGCCTTTGTCAATTCATATCAAACTACTATGATATGTGAAAATGTTTATCATTCTTGTTGTGGTAATATATTATACTATGCCACTGGTGCCGCGATTTTTAGATATTTATATATAAAAGCAGAAGTCATTACTAGTAATGGACTTCTGATAATAGATATTTATAAATATTTTGATTGAATAAAATCAATTTTGATTGCGCAGACATTTAAAGTTAATACTATAATGAGTATATAATTGTATGAAGGTCGTACTTGGGACTCCATTTGTCACATTATTTAACCCTGCTGTTTTTGTTACAGAGAAAAACACTACACAATACATCCTACTTTTATCAAAATTTAATTGGTCCTGAAAATGGATCTGTTATACTTAAGTATTTGGAAAAATGATCAAACTAACCAAGGTTACATATTTGATAGATTTTGGAATAAAATTCAGGCTTATTCATATGTAATGTTGTCGGTATCAGAGTGTAAGGTCTGGTTTCTTAATCCATAGGTTAGGTGCTTTGAGCCTGCTTTGAGTATTTTCGAGCATTCTCTTACTTATCGATTTTGTAAAGGCATGTCCTTTATTTGTTGTGTTTAATATTCGTATTATTGAATTGCGTGTTCATGGCAACAACAAAAATCACTACAAGCAAGAAACGATATGTTATTGCAGTTCTTCATCTTAAAGTCACATTATGTGGATATCTTTGCTGTTGATCAAGATTAAAAATGAAAGGGTTGTGTTCTTAAGAAACAAGCACGAATAGAAAGCCAATGAAAGCTTGTCAAAAGAGAGACATATATATACATGTAATCCGTATGCAGGAACATTAAAAATTAAAAAAATAATAAATTTGTCTAAAATATTTTCTGTCATTTTCGTTCATATTTCAAACTTTGTGATTTGACAGAATTCGATAATTTTACGTAAATAAAAAAGTTTAAAAGATATATTATATAAGATATCTTATATATTATATGAGATATTTTATATACTATACGAGATATATTATATGATATATCTTGAATTTAGAATAAATAGTAAAACGGCTTGTCATACCGGATAGGTTAATATTAATGACGTCAACTGGATAGCATAGCTACGTATCATATCGTTCAACATAGATAGATATCTAAGACATAGCGGCTATACTAGCTGCTACGATATTGAACGCAACCCAGGTATATTTTCGAACCACGCTGAAGTACGTCCATTATTCATTTTTCATTATTCAAAATTCAATAATGAATAATGAAATAGTTCACTATTCACTATTCAATATCAAGTGATGAATAATGAATAATGAAATAGTTTATGTTTCATTATTCAAGTTAAAGCGGTGAATAGTGAAATAAAAAAAAAAAATTGACTGTGACATTTTAGCTATATCCCGTATTTCTAAATTAGTCTTTTTGGTGTTATCTAACAAATATTCAAATTGATATCAGAAAAAATAAATAAAAACACTCTTTAAATTCTAATTTGATTTATTTATATGGTTCCTAGTTTCGGAGGATAAACTAGTGGGTTTTCCTAACTATTTTTAACAGGAATTCCTTGGTTCAATGTATGGACGACCTGAATACCAAAACATACATTTATAAATTAAAATACTCTACGTAGTCTTTTTTTATTTTCACTGGACCTTTGCTATTCTTCATCCACTAATTATAGATATAACAAGTCGATTGTTCAGCAATGACCATTAGAGGGGTTACGGAGGACCTAAATGCCAAAATACGCGTGAAAATTAAGAAATAGCCAATTTTGAATAATGAAATGGATATTTTGAATAATGGAATGGACTGCTGCGACCCTTTAACCCCTAATTATAGATATACCTTATACCTCATTCGAAAGCTTATTAAGAGAGGAACAAAAGGTATATAGTCAATATGTTCCGAAACACATATTAGAGGAGTAACGAAGGACCTAAATATCGAAATACGCGTGAACATTAAGAAATAGCTTATTTTGAATAATGGAATGGACTGCTGCAACCCGTCGGCCCCTAATCAAGGAAAAATTTATACACCAAATTAAAGCTTATTGATAGAGGAATAAACTGAGTATAAACGATATGTGCCGCAATGACCATTAGAGGGGTTACGGAGGACCTAATGAACGTATTGACTATATACCTTTTGTTTCTCTCTTAATAAGCTTTCGAATGAGGTATAAGGTATATCTATAATTAGGGGCTAAAGGGTCGCAGCAGTCCATTCCATTATTCAAAATATCCATTTCATTATTCAAAATTGGCTATTTCTTAATTTTCACGCGTATTTTGGCATTTAGGTCCTCCGTAACCCCTCTAATGGTCATTGCGGCACATATCGTTTATACTCAGTTTATTCCTCTATCAATAAGCTTTAATTTGGTGTATACATTTTTCCTTGATTAGGGGCTGACGGGTTGCAGCAGTCCATTCCATCATTCAAAATAAGCTATTTCTTAATGTTCACGCGTATTTCGATATTATGGTCCTTCATTTACTCCTCTAATATGCGTTGCAGAACATATTGACTATATACCTTTTGTTTTTCTCTTAATAAGCTTTCGAATGAGGTATAAGGTATATCTATAATTAGGGGCTAAAGGGTCGCAGCAGTCCATTCCATTATTCAAAATATCCATTTCATTATTCAAAATTGGCTATTTCTTAATTTTCACGCGTATTTTGGCATTTAGGTCCTCCGTAACCCCTCTAATGGTCATTGCGGCACAATCGACTTGTTATATCTATATTTAGAGGATGAAAAATAGCAAAGGTCCAGTGAAAATTAAAAAAAGACCACGTAGAGTATTTTTATTTATAAATATATGTTTTGATATTCAGGTCGTCCATACATTGAACCGAGGAATTTCTGTTAAAAATAGTTTGGAAAACCCAAGAGTGTTTTTGTTTATTTTTTTATATCAATTTGAATATTTGTTAGATAACACCAAAAAGACTAATTTAGAAATACGGGATATAGCTATAGTGTCACAGTCAATTTGTTTATTTTTATTTCACTATTCACCGCTTCAACTTGAATAATGAAACATAAACTATTTCATTATTCACTATTCATCACTTAATATTGAATAGTGAATAGTGAACTATTTCATTATTCATTATTGAATTTTGAATAATGAAAAATGAATAAATGGACGTACTTCAGCGCGGTTATTTTCGAATTACTGTTTACGTCACAGTTCAATTTGGGGTCCTCGTAGAGGTCCGCATTTATAAGTCATGTCGCTTTCATTCAAAAACAAATTAAACTTTTGGGATGTAAAATAACGTGAAAATAAAGACCAATGTCAAATTGCAGGATAAAAATAATATTCGTAAAGTGTAGAAAAATATATAATTCATTTCTACTCGCTATGAAACAAAAGAATCCCCGATCTGTTCCTCAAGCTCGCACAACAAATAAATGATATATAATCGACATGTTGTTCTTTGATAACAATAGCATTCTCTGAAATCTATAGAAGGTAGGATATATACCTCATTGTTGAATTTTTAAGGCATAGGACTGGTTTAAAGATATTCTTCTCACAAATTATGACGAAATAAAACGATTTTAATAAACAATGTATGCAGTTTGACAACCGAGGTTAACTATTCATATTTGAAATAGTATTTATCGTTGATATGGTTCCCTCTAAGACTTTGCAATTGGTATTTGCTGGTTCTCAGTTAAGCACGCGTCATAAAGATGTTAAGAGTAAAGGCTGGTGTTCTCGGAGTCGGAACAATGTGTGGGTAGGGTGACCTGTGATCCTGCGGAGAGTTACCTTGTGAACAAGCACGTTAAAAGTCCGACTCATAATGTCGGCATAGTACAAAGCAGGATTCATATCCCATTAACATGTTCTCGTCCTTGATATTCACTTAATTTGCCACTTATTTGAAACTAGCATCGTAATAGAGAACTCCAGCGCTTCATGCGTTTGAGTAATAATTAAAACATAGCAATGCAATCCTTAAAGTCAGAAAAATGAACTAGAAAAGACAGAGTAGTATCAAACAGAATCAGAGCAACTTCAAAACTAACCGGGCTAGGTATCAACCAGAACCAGAGCAAATTCAAAACTAACCAGGCTAGGTATGAACTATGATACTTAATGTATACCAAACAAAATTAAGTGTTCAGTTATTGTTTTTTTTATTATTGCATGATTTTATTGAATGTTTGAAAAAAAGATTTTCAATTTATTTTTTGTAGTCATTGGTAATGGTGGACCTGAGGTGAAAATGAATTCAGGATTTGACGCACAACATTCTTATGATATTAAATTAAACGGACACATTCAAAATGGTAACTCAAACAAAGGACAAATCGGAAGCATAAATCGATCTGAAAAATTGCTAAACGGAACTGGATATACTTCGAATGGCAATGGTCATATACATCATAATGACGATGTCATGGAAAAACATTTCCCGCTTCAGGAAGAGGATGTGCGTATGGAGAGAAGTCTCGGGCTAATTAGTGGAACGGCTATTATAGCAGGCACAATGATCGGTTCGTTTACCTTTTTTCTGGAAGACTGCATATACATTATAAGATTGAATGAAATGAGAAGTGGGGTATTCGTACATGACATAGCAACCCATAAAAAACCCAAAAGACATCCAGAGGTGTCCTGTTCTCACTGAAATTCGGATATTACGATGCGTTTGGGTAGTATATGTTAACCCTTCTGATCTCCTGATATCACCAACGGTTTTATGGTAGTTCGTATTCGACAAGCTTTAGTTTATAGTGGCACACTATAAACAAAACAAAACAAAACAAAGCACATCGGCTAAAATTGTCACAAGTCGAGAAATATTTTCAATCCTGACAGACAACAGGTACACGAACCACTGATTTTGAAACCCAAAATTTGTATATCTCGCCCCTTTTTAGTTATTCAGAATAATAACAAAAGTTACATGTACAAGAACGAACGATACAAACCAGTTAAGGAAAAGCAGCGAACTCTTAAATTTCGATATTTTAGCCAAACACACAAGATCAATAAAACAATAATAAACAATAACGTGTAAAAGAATGCTCGCAGTTCCTGAAAGCAAGTGCAAAAAACTTAACCCAGTGTAATAAAATCAAAAACTATCGTTTGATGTATCTTTTGTGTTTGTCTTGGTATTTAAACATACTGATTTTTTTTCTAATGGTACCGTCTTTCTGGTACTCATTTGGTATTCATCAAATATATTATTGGTTTTAGAATTAAAAATGAAAATCTTCATATACATTGAATAATAGTATAAATACATGAAAGGCATACAAATTCATATATTGCTACACAGAAGTATACGATTACTAAAATAAATGTCATGTATGTGTGTATTCATGTACAAGACATCCTTATCAGGCCTTCCCCAGTCTCTTATTTTGTCCACGCTAGACACAGCAGACACTGAAATTAAGAAAAATATTTTAAAATCATGGTTTTTTTCACGGTTTATGATCCTCGTCCATTGTTAAAAAAGGAGAGAAAAGTATGCCCTATAGTTTTTAATTCAATGGAAAATTTGCTATTTCTAAACAAGTTACACACAAACTTTTACTGGAAGCTTTGTATTTTGTTTAAAGCTTTTCTGTGTTTTTATTTATTGACCAATAGCAGGCAAACATCATAATATACCCATTTAGAGTATTGTATGATAATGTAATTGTAGGTTCCGGTATATTTGTTTCACCTAAAGGTGTATTAGAAGGAGCCGGATCTGTAGGAATGAGTTTAGTCATATGGCTTAGTTGTGGTATAATATCCATGTTAGGTAGGTATCCAAAACAATTATTAATATCTGTGTCATTTTTGTATAATCTGTATGTTCTCTATGTGTTAAAATCATACAGCATTGTGTTGCTATATATCATCAAAACAATTATAAAAATGTTGATTAAAATTCCTGTGGAAAGAAGAAGATGCTATATTAAATGTTGTATTGTCCAAAGGATTTCTGTCCTAAATTTGTCAAAGACAAATAATCCATTTCACTTCATTTTATAACATTTGACTGGAGAACATTTTAAGAGTATCGAAAAGAATGCATGATTTCTAAGTTTTTTGTCTTAATTTGAATACTGTCTGTAGTATAACAGCATTTATTGAAATTATAAAAACATGGATTTGATGCTTTATTGATTCAGGAGCTTTGACATATGCTGAGTTAGGAACAACAATCGCCCGTTCCGGTGGAGAACACGCCTATCTCATGGAAGCATTCAATCCAAACGAGAAATACAAATGCTTTGGGAGAATACCAGCGTTTTTATTTGACTGGATCAGCGTATTTATCATTAGACCGTCCATGTTTGCTATTATGTGCTTCACTCTCGGGACTTACGTGACTCAACCTTTCTATCATGACTGTGTACCTCCAATTTACTTAACAAAAATATTCACGGTTTTAGCAATGGGTAAGATAATTTAATCGATATGTAAATATTACAAATTAAATATTTTACAAATGGAACAGTATTTCCCTTTTTAAGCGTTTGCGAGGTAATAACAATTGCACGAAGCACAAGTTTCATTTCTAATCTGCAGTTCCTAGTACCTCTACATCTTCTTGGTTACTTTATACTAAAATCATAAGATTATGAAGAGCTATTAAATGCAATAATTTAGAAAATTACTGAAATGAATAAACAGTTTGATAAAATTGTAAAGGAATTCCATATATATATATATATATATATTATCTAGTTTATATAAATTTATATTCTTATTACTTCAGAGGTTTGTGTTTGAAAAAGTTTATAATAGCTAGGAACAATCATATACTGTAAATCTAAGATTTTATTTTAAACATACATCATTTCAGTCTTATTGTGTGTTATCAACTGTATGAGCATCAAATTTGCTGAAAGAATTCAAGTTGTCATGATGGTTGTTAAACTGTTGGCAGCTGCAATTATAGTGGGTGGTGGATTTTACAGTTTGTCACAGGGAAATACAGAAACTATTGCCAGTAGTTTCGAGGGAACGGGGACAGAAACGTCTATTATAGTTCTGTCATTTTATAACGGATTGTGGGCATATGACGGATGGTAAGTTTCAGTTAATGATTTGATTTGATTGGTTGATGTTTAACGCCACTTTCAACACTTTTGTGCTATTTCGTGGCGGTCAGTTTTTATTGGTGGAGTAAGCTGGAGTGCCCATAAGAACCACCGACCTTCGGTAGGAAAACTGACAATCACAGTCAATAAAGATTGGAGTCGAGCGCACGTGCCACGTTCGCGGATTGAACTCACAATCTCAGTGTTGACAGGTTAGTGATACAGTAGTTCGACTACTTAAACCACTCGCTTATTATTTTTTCAATACTCATAGCATTAGAATGTAAGAAATATGATTTTAATTATTTAGACAGATTATTATATTTTACCAAAATTCCACGTTGATTCCAATGGACTCTTGGACAGACATTGTTAATAGTGAGTTTAAACGTGTTCTAATCATGCACCGTTTCATGGAGATTTGTCTTTACTGGATTGTTCTGATTGTATTTATCATTATTAAAGTTATAATTGTTGAAATATTAAAATTATAGTTTATGCAAGATTTATACAGCAAAGTAAAAGATGGTAGCTCAATGTGTTATTTACGTCTCTTATTAACACAATTTTAAACAGAACCTATGTTAATCTATCCCAGTGATGTAAAAATAATCAACGACATCCCCTTTATCCCCTTTTCTCATAAAAAAAGAATAGAAAAGTCTTTATCGCGTATACAAATATACATATCAATTAATAAGATATCACTGCAATCTTCGAACATCGCGATGATTTTTTTATACATAGTTTAAAATCAATACCCTTTTCTGTGTAGAAATAAACGTTGACGGGTATCTTTCATACTGGATTTAACGAGATAATAAATATTTTGAATTATAAAAGACTACAGATATTTTCTCCTATGATTAGACGATGTCCCTTGATAATTTCGTGCGCAACATTTTCAAAGTCGTGGTCTCGAGTTTAATAGTCGTTCGCACCAGTTTTAATCGTGCGCACGAGATACAAAGTAATGCGCATATGTTTGAAAGAAATGCACAAAGTTTTTTTAGCTGGTGTGCACTATAGTTAAATCTCCCTCAAACGAAAATAATAATGTTTCATAGCACTAAAGGGGCCACATATAATCACATCCAAACGTCTGGCAAACAGATAAACTCTAATGAAACACCGTGCTTATTTCACACTATGAACATTTTCTCGAATTTGAAAACTTTCATAGTCTTCGAGAGGAGCTTTTTTATTCTTCTCTGTAATACCACTATATATTATTATTTTCTCATTATTTCATATGTAAATTTTAAAGTATTTTTCTTTCATTTTGATGTAGGAATAACTTAAATTTTGTGACTGAGGAACTTCAGAATCCAAGAAAGTAAGTTGTTTTTTTAGAGTACTTGTACTTTGTCCAATTTAAATGTAAATGAATAATAACAATTTGAACTTAGGGTGTAGGTGATTGATAAAATATGTGAAAAAAAGAGGTGGATAGCTTATAGTAAAGCAACGTTAAACAATTCTAATAAATTATATTTCCTAAAGTAAACAAATTAATATTGATGCGATTCGAATATTTTCAAAAGATTTTAGCAAATAAAAGCTTGATAATATATCTTTACAGAAATATTCCAAGAGCTATATGTATAGCAATACCTTTAGTAACAGTGGTGTATATAGCAGTAAACATTGGCTACTTTGCCGTACTCACGCAGACAGAAATACTAACATCAGAAGCAGTAGCAGTGGTATGGTGTACTCCATACAAATATTTGTTTTCATTTCTCTCTTTCTTAGATGATTTAGCGCGAAGACTTACGTTTAAGAAGCAATAAACATAAAACATTTGATAGCGCCAGAGCCTAAATGATCTACTTGAACAGACAAATCATTCATTTATTAAACATTTCACAGAATAGCATAGTGTTGAATTTGTATCAAATCCTAAACAGTTGTTACAGTAATTACAGACTTCAATAGTAAGAAAGCGAATTGTTAAAGTTTAAATCTAAAACAGCACAAACTGAATAAGTCATTGGCTAATTTTATAGTACATATGAAACAGTATTGAAAATATAAAGCTATAATAACATGAACATTACCAATTTGAATGCAGCAAATCCGCATTTAGACAATTAATGTCTCGTTAGTGATGCGTGAGGCTATACGTTTTGAAAATCCAAAACCTAATTCAAACTTTGAAGAGCTGATATAACCGAAACCGAAACTTTACAATGTAAAAAGAAGTAAATCATGTATTCGCATTCAACTTAATCGATTTAATTACAGGAATGGGGTAAAAGAATGTTGGGTGTTATGCAATGGATTATTCCTGTTTTTGTTGTTTGTTCGTGTTTTGGTTCCGCAAACGGATCGTTGTTTTCAAGTGGACGGTAAGTAAGCAAAAGATTTTTTTTTATTGAAACATTTGGGTTTTATATAACAATGGGTGTTTGGTAAATTCAATGTTACAAATGTTTTTATGTCTTGGAGCTCATTGCATAATTGAGATTTGAATATGAAATTGGTACCGCTAATGTTGTTACTACTCCCGAAAAGGAAGGTCATGATGGGGGTCCTTGGTTTCTTTATTCTTAATTTTTTATGGTCATTTTTTCTCTATTTTTATATATTTCAGTACCCCATTAATCTCTGTTCTTTCTTTTTTGGGCCAATATTTATTTTTTTATTCTGTATTGGCACATTATTCTCTATTCTGTTAACCCGTTCCAGACCATCATAATAGACCTGGAAAAGAAGGTATTTAATTCTACTGTTCTGAATCAGTTTTTTCAAAACAAGACATGATAAGTGATAAGCTTTTTCAACTAGAAAATATTTTGAAAACAATAAATCACATATAAGCTCTTAAAGATAGATGTAACACAGACAATGATATCAATATTGAACAACACCAATGATCACAAAAGGTTTCTCGAGGAAAATCACATTTGTAACACTTATCTTCACAGAAAGAACTATCCGACAACATGGAAGTAAAGCACACAAATGTTATAATTGTTTAAAAAAAAATAACGATTATATTTATTTGAGTATCAATTTAAACTTCATAGCTTTTTTTTCAGATTATGTTACGTTGCCGCTTTTGATGGTCATTTACCGTCTGTGTTATCTTTTTTGCACTTACGGAGACACACTCCGATTCCGTCCATGATATTTACAGTAAGTTTAACAGTACTTCAAGCCTTGCCATTTCACACCATGAGTATGAATAAACGAAAATTTACATACCATTCTAAGAAAAAAAATATAAAAAATACGTGAAATAAATAATAGCTGTGTAAAGAATCGATCTCAAACTAGCAATATAAAGAAACATTTTGAAATGCTGATAGCACAAATATTTACTTTCCTAAATTTACGCGTGCCGCTAAGGAAAATTCAGTTCGGGAGCATTTTAAACAAGGATAATATTGAAAATCACATCACTTTTTATTAAAAACTATTATGTTTTTTTTTTAGAATAAATAGTAAACATCTTTCATATTTTACATAAACGTAAGCCATCGTGTGCGGTTTTTAAAAAAATGCTTAAAACATGACTTGATTATCTCCCTTTAAATGTTGAAAAGTACTTTTTATTTTATCACTTAAATGTCTGAGATGGATTTGGCTATTTTTTAGGTATTTTTTTTTGTCATATAGCTCTTCAACTGTTTCGGTTCTTATACATCCTAGGCTTTCAAATATTCTGCTTTGAGCGCTCCTGATGAAGTTAAATCCAGAAAAGCGCTTCGAACGCATGGAATTATTTAATGTGTTGTTTTCATTATTAAAACGATTAAACATTTTTTGAGCAATGAAATTACAACGAATTTGATATTCCGATAAACAATAGAGTTATGCCTTTTCGTGCTACTTTTTCCAAAATCATACGAAGCTGTCTGTCTTGATGTATGCGACATTTTCGTGATTATGATAAAGTCGGATACCGAATTCGGTAATCGTCAGCTTATTGGTTGGTGTTCAAATATTTTAGATAAGCTAGCCTTGAAAACTTATTTCTCAAGAGTTTAACATAGAAAAAGTATTTTCATATTTTTTCTAATGTTAATTATCATTGTACTTGAGCTAAAATCTAATGCCAGTTTGTTTTTTGTATATTTCAGCTTATAATCTCAGCACTTTTGGTTGTTCCTTTTGACCTAAGTTCGTTGATTGGTTTCTTCAGTTTTACCGCTTGGATATTCTATGGTTTAACTGCTTCTACAGTACTTGTACTACGCTACAGATTTAAACATAAAACTGAACACGACAACTATCAGGTAATTAACATATAAAACAACTACTATCATTTTGTGATTAACTTCAGACAGAATCAAAAGTTTCATATTTGTAGTCCTCGTCTTTTCTGTCCTATTTTACTTTCCAGAATCAGGTCATCTAAGTTAATTTGTTTCGAAATCCCAAAACTTTAGATAATTAAAACATTATTTGTCGTGGGTGTGTGGACGGGGCAGGTACACCAGCATTGGCACAAAAGTCATCTATCAGTGGATTCATTGTGTAGCTAATTCACACACAACGCCTCTCTGTGGGAATATTTAATATTCATAAGATATTCAGCTTTGTTTACACAAAGGTTTTAAGAGTGGCTTACCATGTTTCCTTCCAGTAAATTCCATTTAAGCCTTCTTTGAGTTCATAGGAATGGTGAAAACTACTGTACAACGCTATATTTTGAGATGTGCGAACAATTGTTCATTCCTTTCAAAAAGAAAATCACATTCTTGCTTGTAACGTTTTTAAATATTTTTACTTTCCCTTATCAATTAATGTTATGATTTTGACCTTTCAGGTTTCTCTAGCAGTACCGATTCTTGTAATGATTCTCTCTGTATATTTAGTACTCGTTCCTTTAATATACATACCGAAGCCAGAATATATTTATGTTTTGATATTTATGGCTGTTGGACTATTGTTGTACTTTCTGTTAGTGTACAAGAAAGTAAAGATTCCATTTGTGGGTAAGTAACACATATCAATTGCAAGAATAAAGAAGATACATTGTTCAATAAATATATATCAGTTATGCTTCACCAGTATTTGATATCATACTGTTTTGTTCTTCATTATATATATTTAAGTCATTGTTTGACATTAAAATGGATGCACTCCATTCCAGTTGTACGGAGAAGAAGAACATAGGCTTAATATTACAAATAAAGTTAACAGCTGAATAAATGATAGTAAACAGGATATAAAAATAGGTTGAAACTATTTTCCTTAATTAATTTTTTACAGAATGGTTTTAAAGTTAAAAATCAAGGAATTAAAAACATAGCATTAAATATAAGGCAAAATATTATACGCTGCAATGTCTGGTTTCAAAATGTTGGATCATAACCTTATTTTTTCGTGATTTAGTAGATACAATGTGTAATGCACAGGCTGTTTCGGGAAACTAACCTACCTGGCAAAGAAGATTTGAGATAGCCAATTATGTAAATAATTTTCTTTTGTTTTATTTGCAGATTTAGCAACTAAAATTTTGCAGAAACTTTTTCTAGTTGTTCATCCGTCCGGGAAGGCGAAATAAGAATACAGATTACTCCGCACTCATAAAAACAATGCAAATTTGCTATGAAATGTGATTTTTTTCGTAACACAGCAAATCGACATATTGTTTTATACGCCAGTCAAAATTTTGACGGGACGTATTATGGTATACAAATGTCCGGTGTCCGTCCGTCTGTCCGTCTGTCCGTCTGTCTGTCTAGCGTAAACATGTCGCACCGTAACTTGAGAATGACTTATCCAAATTTCATGAAACTTAACATAGTTGTTTCTTATGATTGTCAAACGATCTGTATACTTTTTGGTGAAAATAAGACTAAAACTTTTTGAGTTACGGGACTTAGTAACTAAAACAGGTGTGTGTTTTTTTTCACATGTCGCGCCGTATCTCAAAAACAATTTATGATTATTGCTTAAAACTTTACACACTTCTTAGTTATATTAATCTTAAGATCTGTATACTTTTTGGTGATGATTCAAAATTTTATTTTAGAGATATTGAGTATTTTGTTAAAAAAGGAGGAGGGGTTTTTCACATGTCGCGCCGTATCTCAAAAACAGTTTATGATTATTGCTTAAAACTTTACACAATTCTTAGTTATATTAACCTTAAGATCTGTTTACCTTTTGGTGATGATTCAAAATTTTATTTTTGAGTTATTGAGTATTTTGTAAAAAAAGGGGGAGGGGTTTTTCACATGTCGCGCCGTATCTCAAAAACGATTTATGATTATTGCTTAAAATTTTACACACTTCTAAGTTATATTAATCTAAAGATTTGTATACTTTTTGGTTTTGATTCAAAATTTTATTTTAGAGATATTGAGTTTTTTGTAAAAAAAAGAGGGGTTTTCGCATGTCACGCCGTATCAGAAACTATTTATGCTTATTGCATAAAAATTCACACACAAGACGACGGGCTTATCATGCGCTCATGGCGCAGCTGTTTTTTATAATAATTACAGCTTGCATCTTTCATGAACATAATGACATTGAATACTGGTATCTTTTTTCATTCATATACTATCATATACCACAAAGATCATTGCATTTATTTGTTTTCTCTACGGCATTATCTGTTAATTGTTGTACTAAAAGTATTATGTGATTTTAACCAAAAGAGATATGACATATTTTGTTATGCTGTGTCACCATTATGATTACTTATATAAAAATAAGGAGATTAGGTATGATTGCCAATGAGACAACTATCCACCAAAGTTCAAATGAAGTGGATGTAAGTAGTTATGGGCAACCGTACAGCCTTCAACAATGAGAAAAACCCATACCGTATAGTCGGCTATAAAAGGCCCCGACATAAAAAATATGAAACTTAATCCGATACGTTGTGCAAAATTATCATGTAAGGATTCTACACGAAAAGGCTCCACAAGTAACTTATAAGAAAACTACATATAAAATGTTTTCAAGATATACACAATGATTTTCATGTCAACTAACAAATTGAAATATTTACAGTACATTTGCTTGCACGTAATAGATTATATCAAATCAATTAAAAAAACCTTAAACTTAAAGTTATCTAAAAGTAAAACCTCTAAATGTCATTTGATTTTTTCTGTGTCGTTGGCATGCTAACATCTTGACATATGTATAACATTTATCTCCCATTGTTATTTGTGTATGTACAAAACCATCTTGTTAGTAAGTTCTAAATTTGCAGTTGACCTTAATGTTTTTACATTAAAAAAGAGGCAGTAACCATGATTCCCCAGTCAAATAAAAACTGATAATTTCACCTGTAAAAGTAATCCTTTTATATCACCCCAATGACGTCATACGCAAACTAGCTGTTGTCAAGACGTTGCCAATGACGTTGATTCAAAACTAAATTGTGATAACGCATAAGAAAAGATGTATATTCTCACATTTTCTGTTTTATTCACGTTTAAAGTCAACGTAATAGAAAGATTGACTAAATCAAGAATTCTAATATCGAAACATATTAAACTCGATATCGATAAGAGTGATAACCAGCCAATGAGGTACGCTCATTCGGGAATTAATGTGTTGTTCGGTTATTTGTTGAATATTTTTGGATAATTGAATTATTTATTGGATTAATTATCAATCAACAAATAAATGCTCTTCGTTGATATGGTCATTTTCATAAGAGTGCATTAAAGTCATCAATATTCTGAAGGCTTATTTGAACTTTTTAACATGATGTTTTAAGTTTTATTATTGCATTTTATGTTTCTGTTTCTGTTTCTGTTTTTGTTATATCATTATTATTGTTAAAGGTTTTTGTCATTTAATATAGCCACGTGGGAATCATCTTTATACATTTTTATGATAATAAAGATATTTGATTTTGTTATAAGATAATTTTTCATTCATATCACTCGTTTACATATTTAGTCCATCAAATCATTTAGGCCGCTCTAGTTATTCAGAATTCTCCGGGATCTGCTTACAATTTCGGAACACCTGAGATTATCCCGGTTTTTGGTGGGGTTCGTGTTGCTCAGTCTTTAGTTTTCTATGTTGTGTTTTATATACAATTGGTTTTTTTTTTGGTCCTTTACTTTTTTTGCCAAGGAGTTGTCAGTTTATTTTTTACTTATGATTTTGATATTATATGTTTAATATGTATTTTAAATATGCGAATGCCATTGTCTCTTTGTGAGCAACATTGTTTTCAAATATTAAAAAAATAAGTACCCTTAACAAAGGGAGATTCAAGCAAGCAATTAAAAATTTGTGTTCTTATATCACCTATATCTTATTTCTAAAAAAATATTCTACATTTCTTCTGCGTTAATTCCCTTCCACATGATCCTTACCCTTCCCGAGCACCTGAGATCACCCCCAGTTTTTGGTGGGGTTCGTGTTGCTAAGTCTTTAGTTTTCTATGTTGTGTCATCTGTACTATTATTTGCCTGTTAGTTTTTTTATTTTTGGCCATGGCGTTGTCAGTTTGTTTTCGATCTATGAGTTTGACTGTCCCTCTGGTATCTTTCGTCCCTCTTTTACACCAACATTTAACCTCAATTAAATGTTTACCATGCAGTGCTTAATAAAAACTGTAAACTAATTAACAAGAACGTAGCAGCTACTATACAATTGGATTTATAGTGGCAAATCAAGTTGTATATTAGTAGAGATGAAAATCAAATGATCCTGCTGAGGATGAAATCTTCTAACAAATAAATGGAATGCAACACTTGTGAACAGACAACCATTTTTACTCATACACATGATGAATAAAAAACTGGTGCACGTGTTAATCAAAAGTATACAAATGCAATAAATAATACTCAAAATGAATGATCATGCTCGCATTCCAAAGAGACCTTAACATACAGGCATACACAAAATTGAACATAGATACAGGACTGTTCTTTACAAAAATGTCCAACAAACAATACAATTAATATGAGGGACCAAAAAGATTATTACTAATAAGGGGTTGTTACTTACAAGGAAGTTATTTAACAAATGGTTCTAAATGGTTAATTTGAATCATGATTGGTCAACCTCAATATGAATTTATGTGTCTCAGATGACCTTGGATATGATCAACTAGTCGAAGACCCAAACCCAACTTTTATTTGTTTGCGTCATTAACGAATGCGACTTGTCACATGATTTTTTATTTACCCTGCACAACTATACGGGTGCCACTAGTTTTATCCTTCCAATACAACTGAGTTTACCCTGATTAAAGATGGGTTTCGTTTTGCCTAATCTTTGGTTTTATGTGTGGAGTTATGTGAATAATTGCTTATCATTTACTTATCGTCATGGTTGTGTCTGCCTTTCTTTCTTTAGCCTTTGGTTTTTATTACCCCCCTTTGAATCGTTTCCCTCTTTTTATTAACGTATTCGTCACAAAAAAGCTAGAATCGAAAGAGTGTTTTTGCCTTAATTTTCATTTTGTAACCCTCTATAACAATTTAGATAATCCACTCGCAATTTTTAGCAAACAAATGTTAACCGACCCCGTATGTATCTCAGAACACTTAATTCAAATCTAAATCTGAGTCAGCTATCCTTTTTCTTTAATCCCATTGTCCCGTAAGACTTGAAGTCCTTTGTCTTTGCACTATGTTTATAAAACTCTTCTTTCTTACGGAATTATCACAAAAGATCAGATCAGAATCCTTTAATTATCTTGGGTGTCTCTTTCTAAAGCTTTTTGTCATATAATTCTCATACAGTTTTATTTGATTTTTGTTTTGGTTCTGATGTTCCTGGTATGTTTTATATAAAAGATCGCTTAGGTCGAAATTAAGTAGCTATGGTTGACTTTGAGTTGTTATCAGTGGGTTGATACCACAGTCGAGGACTATCTTAGGTAACTTTGAGATATATTTGTTTTCTTTATAAAACTTTTCTTAAAGCTTTCTGCTCATGTTTTAAAACATCTTTTACTGTAAGCTTCATACCGGAGAAAGACCAACTTCCAGCGATTGAAAACAAATGATATGATTTTAGTGCTGACAACACGTGTTTCTGAAATATTTACTTCCAATTAAGATCAAAATTGCCCGTACACATAACTACTCGATTAAATCTTTTTTTTCTAAATTTATTTCTCATCCCTTCCTTCATGTCGATACAAACTTGTTAAGCTGAGTAGTTATTTAACCAATCTATCAGGTTGTTTTGAAATAATAAAACAAATAGTGAATAAATAAAGAAAAAGATATGTTGGTATCGGTCGATTAAATGGCAATCCAACAACACAAAAGCCAAAGACATTTTAAGTCAAACAAAGGACTTCACCAAAGACAGGTGTCTGCACAATTTGTCAACCTCTTGATCGTTCCGTATCTAAAAATATGAATAACAATATAAAGTTGAATAAAATTATCAAAGAAAACCAAGATCAGCCATAAACCAAGTATCTATAGTGGAGCGGCGGAGAGGACACTTTTAGAAATTTAAATTACCTACATACCTCATGGCATTATAATAACTCATTGGAAATCTTAAATCGTGTACTTTTTGAAAATCTGTGTGGTAAACATGAAAACTGGTGCCATTATGCCTTAAATCAAGGTCAAAGGTCATCACTTAAAAAATTCTACTTTCATCTAGAGAAACAAACTGCAGATTTTTTTTCAAAATCAATAATCTATTCAATAAATTATTCAAGTATTATTATTTATTAATGCTGAAGTTCCGATTAAGATGTGTTTAATATTTTCACAAGACGTCAGAATAACGTATTATTTAACTTATTCGAAGGTAACACGTTTAAATTACAAAAAAAATCATCATTTTCACAAATTTCAAAGCCTAATAAATAACTGCAACAAAATGACCTTGATCTTTGACCTCGATAAATAGCATGTCTGTATACATACATTTGAGAATAATAGGTATTAAAAGAGTATCCGAAATACATTGTTGATAAAATCCAACAACATTTGCAAGTAAGATTTTATCTCAGTTTTCCAGGATTCGACATGTCACTGAGTTTTCTTGAAAACAATTCCCACTGTTAGTCCCAATACACGACAATTTTTTCAGATGATACAAGAAGCATGAATTATTGAAGTGATAACTACGATTAACTTTCATTCGACGATACTGTAATGAATGCAAGCGGGTAATATGAAAAATTCAAAAAGTTAGACATGACCGTTTTCATATACAAAATGAAACGTCGAAAACATCATAGAAAAATAAAATTCAAATACGATATGAACGAGGAACACCCCAACTTAGCTAGAAAATATTTCCAAGAAATAATGTTCATGATATGTCATCTGTGTCATCAGCTATGTCGGCTGATACGGCCTGGATATTGTTACAATTACCTACATTTAAAAAAACACACAAATTCGCGGATATTTGTCACACATGAACCGACACTGTTCTGGATTCTAGTTATAAGCCCATATTAGACAATTTTTCGATGGTCAATTGTATTTATTATCTCGTGTATTTCTTGTTTACTTTAGAATTTCTGAAGCTTTGCAATTTATATATGTTGTTAGGTATTGTTGTGTTTGTTGAATTTAACCGTGAAAGTGACAATAATTGTAGGTGCGTTTGGTTTACAAGTGTGTTCGATCTGTTGAATATTCAAGTAAAAGGACAATTACAGTAGTTCGTTAGAACTGGCTCCGCTCGATGACAAGAAAAGAGGCTCTAACTTTGGAGTTGACAAATACATTACCTGAAATTTTATGAATAGCAACAAAAACTAGAAAAAAAGGTCTGCTAAATGCTGCAGCAGTGAGACGTGATGATTTATTTATTTATTTCAATGAACTATGTAATGATACGTAAACTGATTCAACCATATTTCGGAATCACATGTCTTGTTTTAAAAGCTACACAAGTAAACAGAATTTGATATAAGTAGCACTGAAAAGAAAGCACCAGATATGAAGCAAGATTTATCCAATTCTGTGTTGGCTGAAAGTAGTGTTGACCCGTCCTCTCGATAAATAAAATTCTGTAATTTGCAAGAAAATGTCTCATAGAAAGTGAAAACATTATATACCATGCTGAAGGGTTAGCAAATCTAAATGTCGGTGCTGTTAGAGCAGGCGACGCTGATATGATATACCGAATACAGCTTGAGAATTTTCTCAATAACGCAGTTTATCATGCTGTATGTTTGACCACATGCATGACATAAAGACCAAATTACACATAGTAGTTAAAATTATAGACAAAGACCTTATAAGTTTCAAACAGACTTCTTATTTTATATTATGTTACTAATTTACCAGTCTTTCTTACCAAAATAACATAAGTAAGACCTACTGCAATTACTCTAAACTCAAGGCTAACTCAAGAAGCACTTCGTGGATGCCATTGTGTTCTTTTCCAAACACTGACATGGTAAATCGAACATTTAATTTGCAAGAGTTATTTCTAATGGCGACGCATTTAAAGCTGCGATTAACATCAAAGAAAAATCGAAAATTTGTCTAAAAGCCGACAGACGGTAATGTTATCAGCTGTCCGACTCAGTTGTAACCATAAAAAGGCAGATACCACAATGATTTTCAATGCTTTTTATGATGATGCTATGTTTGGCGGAAAAGACGATAAGAATAGAATTGTTATCAAATGAGATGATACTGGTGTTCTTGTTCTGGCTGTCCATTTCTCCTGATGCTTAAAATTACAAAATTAAGAAGTATGTGTTTAGACTGGCTTAATTAACAGCTTGAAGGATAACAGACGATTTATCCCAGTTCACGCCACTGTTTCGTCTTTTGACCCAGTTGTCACTGAAATTCATGTCTTCAGCGAATTTTGTTTTGTGAAATCGGTAAAAAGTCGGTATGCAACCTCCGTAGGACAAAAGCAAGCCACTTCAGTAATTTTGTAGCATTAGCACACGCTGATCTTGAAAGTGCTATAGATGATGCTAGGTTGAATACAAGTTTAATATATCGTACAACAATTTACATTTGCTAAGACAACAGTTGGCTATATATCAAGATAAAAGTGCAATAAAGCTTCTGCCATGTGAGTTCGTGTCAACACGTACTACATTTGTACGTGCACTATGATAAAGCAGAGTTTGGGTGTAGGCATTTGTGTCAACCCAAATAATGGCACGCCATGTGAGTTTGGTAGGAAATTTTAGCAAAATGACCAATAAGAGCCAGTTTCTTTGAAGGACGAATGACATCAGACTCTCTTCAAGACCTTGTTTGTTCTTGTAAGACGGAAAGCATGTGTACGCAGCATGCGTTAACAAGGAGCAGCGACTCATTTCTAAAACAATATTACGA